ACAAGAGGTTTGTAGTTGGTTAAGTTTACAGCTGTGAGAATAAGCAGATGACCCTGAAAAGAAGCACCCTTAATCTAGTTTGGCTCTAATGACTGATTTATAGATGGTTAATAGTGAGAAAGGGTGAGAGCCCCACCATGTGTTTGACACCGATCTAAGAAAATTAGACCACTGGGGCAGAATTTGGTAAGATCATTAATATGAGGCGACCATCTAAGCTTGGAATCAAGGTTTATACCTAAGTATGTGTAATTCGTAACTACAGGAATTATAACATCAATGATCGTCGGGCAGTAATCAAAGCGGCGCCTAGTAAAAATAGTTGCTTTACATTTGTTGTATGCGATAGAGAAGAAGGAAGACGTCAGGGCTTCATTAAGGGACTCTAAAGCATTATTCATGGATGTTACAGCCGCTTCAAGATGTCTATCATGAGTGAAAATAACAATATCGTCGGCATACACAAGGCAGTTATGTCCCAAAGTATTGAGGTGTTCAATAATTCGACACATGTACAAATTAAACAAGATGGGGCTCAAACAACTGCCTTGAGGAAGGCCCGTCGAAGTTGAGCATATGGTGGTGGATCCGAAGGAGGAGAAAAAATGTAGTTGCCTATTGGAGAAAATGAGAGAGATTAGATTAATAAATGTTGGGGGTAAATTTAATGTTACTAGGTGAGATAGTAGTAAGGGAATGTGCATAAAGTCGAAAGCACCTCGAATATCTATGAAGGTAGCGACGAAGAATTCTTTGTTGTTAAAAGATTGATAAATCTGACCAATAAAGTTGGCAAGACAGTCTATGGTTCCTCTACCGCGTCTAAATGCGAACAAGTTGTTAGGTAGTATGGATTTGGATTCGAGCCACCAACCTAACCTCACCGTCGAAGTCACCGTCCTACCCATCACCGTCGTTAAGCCATTGTCACTGAGGCCAACGCGTCCACCGTCATTGTCTGCGTACGTCTTTGTTCTAAATCTTTATTATAATTTTGTTGTGTTAATTTTATTCGTCATCCCAGACGAATCCCCCAGATTGGCCAGTCCCTGTATAACCCTTTACTAATACCTAAATTTGTTTTGTTTTTTGAATTTTTAAAAATAGTAGTCCGCCGCTCACGGCAAAATCAGAAATACAGTTGTTACCATTTATTTACACAATACAGTCCACTAACCTTAGCTGAGCTAACAATTAACATATAACTTTGAGTGTTTATTAAAAGTAAATAGTTAATATAAAATAACTTTAACGATAATAAATATATTTTGAAGTTTGTGTATGAAACTATCTCTGATCTCTTCTGTAATAACTACTCCTATTTATATGAGACATACAGCGATTGAGGAGAGGATGATTGACGTCATAGGACTGGCGTGATGTGTCTTAACTCGGTTTTGGCGAATCAGATGGCAGCATCAATATGATTATCTGGTGGCGTGATGTTGTTCTGACCGACCGTACATTGGAATGACGATTTTATGTAAAACGTCGGTATACTACACCGATGCATTTAAAAATAGATATTCTATATTAACTAATTTTAAACAAAAGATTATTAAAAAAAAATCGTTGCATTTGACGATTTGCAAGACGATTCTATGCAATACCTATGCATTTTTTATCAGAGACATTTATGAACCGACACACATCACAGAGACACAGGGTACAGATAGAGGTCCTTAGAGCGGGTTAGGCAGGCGCGTTTTTTATTTGTGGGCCGAAGGCCGAATTCCTAGGGTGGTTAGAGGCCCCCATGTATGTATACTTTTTTGCTTGTTTGTGATGTTGTTTGGTGAATAAACGATACGGGTTCGGGTGGCAGTATTGTGCTAAACAGTTCCCACCCGTTCCCGGTTTCAGAAGGGAAAAAAAAAAAAAAAAAAAAAAAAGGTACAGATAGAGGTACAGATGGATTTTTAAAGAATAAATAACATGATTTTGTATATAAAAGTTCAGTATGTAATATAGGGTAAACGAATATGTATTGAAGTATGCCTCGTAGCTCAGTCGTATATCAATAATTATTCTCAGTACACGTTGACAATTAATACTATTTCGATAGCAGTTTAATATGTTGTCAACTTCGATTTAACACGTACAAATAATGAAAGGTTTAAATCAGTAGCGCAACCAGAAATATTCCTTTGGGGGGGGGGGGGGGGTTAAACATAAATAATTGTGTTAATAATAAATGTATATTTTATTTGTGTTACCATATTAATAATAAAATGTATGTATAAAAAAAATATAATGAAAATATATCAAATAAAATTATAAAATAAAGTCTAAACGACGCTTTAAATTCGATAAACGCTGTATTACTTCTTCGGAATTGACGTCAATATCATAGTGAATATTGAGAGCAGCTAGTCCATTCATTCTCTATTCAGACGTAGAGTTTCTTAAGTAAATTTTAATACGTTTGAGTGTCGAAAATGATCTTTCAGCTTCGCAAGATGTGACAGGAAGTGTAACCAGTATTTGCAAAAGCTTAAAAACATTTGGAAATAAATCTGAATTGCAATTATTCAATATGTTGATGACATTTTTTGTTTTAATGTTACTATCATCTAGATAACGATTCCATAGAAAAATTTCTGATTTCACAAGATCAGAACTATCAATGTCATTACTGTAAAATTCAACAAGTTCTTTAAGTCTTTCTTCATTGAATGTTGAACTGTTCATTAACATTTGGAATCCACTTATAATGTTTTTATGATTTATAAAACGATCATTCAGTTGTTGAATGTACGAGTCAAGAAAAGGAATAAATAAAGCTATTTAGAAATATTCTTCAGGATCATTTGTTGAAATATTTATGCGGTGTTTTTAGCTCTTAGCTAATCGAGGAATTTCAATTTTAATTTCAAAATCATTTAATCTTTCATTAAGATCATTATATAGTTTGTTCAATTCAAGACTAACATTTTCTCTTATGGACATTAGTTGTTTTTTTACTAAACTTATATGTTCAATTGCGTCAACTAAATCAATATTTGTGGTTTGTAAATACTTACATAGTGAATGAGTATACTGAAAAATATAATTAAGAATAGTCAGGGCTACATTAAATTTCGATGCTTGTAGTGCTAATAGAAGTTGATTTGCTTTACTTGATGTATCACTGTCATTCCACATAATTATTTCTTCTAAACAATTTAAAATTGCAGGAAAAAATTCATAAAATGTTTCAATTGAGTTGCAACGCTCAATCCACCTAGTTGGACATAATCTTTTTAGTTTTTGTTTTTGAGATGAAGATTCGTTTTGTTTTTGTTTGTCTAAATGTGTTGAAAAAAAATGTTGTCTCTTCGGTGTGTTAAAAAAATTATAACATGTTTCTATTGTGTTCATAGTATTCCGTATTCCTTGAATATTACATGCACTTGAGACTGAAAGATTAAGATTATGGGCACTACAATACACATACAATGCACTTGGATGATTATTTCTGATTAAAGCTGAACTCCATTAAATCTCCTACTCATACTTGTCGCCCCATCATAACCTTGACCTCGTAAATTGTTTACATCGACATTCAATTTTTTTAATTCGGTAATTATATTATTCGCTAAACATGTATTGGAATAAATTTTATAAAATCTTCACGAACATTTTTACTGTTCACCGTGTCTACTGCAATTCACAGTATTAGCTTACTTAAAACTTATTGAACACAATAAGTACAGTTAATGTTATTACAGTTAATTACAATGGACTTTATTTTAAATTGTATAACATAAACATAAATATTTTTCTCTCAACATCTGTTCTATACAAACATTAGTAATACATTTGTGATTTGCAAGTTGTGATCTAAATATTTTATCTGTTATGCAAGCACTTTTACGTTTTATTACACGGTTCCTAACATGAAATTTCATTGATTCAGTGTTCACAGTGTCCACTGCCGGTTACAATTGACTTCCTTTTAAATTGTATTTCGATTTATATTACAACCAAAGAGCACAATAATACTTTTATGTTTTCTTACCCAGTTCTTAGTATTTATGCTATACAGTTAATGCATTGTATTCAGCATACATATTATACTAAATGTGTATCATCAGTTGGTTACTCAGCAATGTAGCAAACATTATCAATACAGAAGATATAGCTGTACAATTCAAACCATTTTATAAAAACCACATAATATAAATATTCTACTAACCATAAACTTTACTTCATTTAATCGATAGTTATGGAGTTCGGATAATATAATTTAATGAATTCACTTAAAACCCTTTAAAGGGCATAATTCTATGCTTACAACAGACAAAAAAAAATTATATTTTTCAATTTCTATAGTCTTTAAGACATTAAAAATCATGTTATTTACAACATCCCTCAATCAGGGTAGTTCTGAGGGGTTGTTTTTGAGGTGGTAAATATATTTACCACTGCTCATGTATAATGAAGTAAGGTGGTATATATATTTACCACTGCTCATGTATAATAAAGTAAGGGGGTATATATATTTACCACAGACCATTCACAACTTTTTATATATTATGTACAAAATAATTAAATAATTAAATAAATATTATTTTTTTATTAAAAAACAAAGAAATCAACAAACTAATTAAAAATAAAAAAACAAAATTAAAATTCAGACTCAAATAAAATAAAAGAGTATACAACAAAATATTGCTATTTTAAAATCATAAAAAAAACAGAGTGACAACAAATTATAGAAAGTATTTTAAAATTACAAAACATAGTATTACATAGTATTAAACAAAATAGTAAAACTTAAAAAATAAATAAAGAAGCAAATACATATTATAAACTTAAAACATATTCAAACTTTATAAATTGAATATTCAGACTTAATAAATAATTACAACTAACAAAGTAGAAGTAAATACATCACAAAACCTTACCTTTTTAAAAATTAAAAAAAAACAAAATTAAATTAATAATAATATAAAATATTTCAAACATGCCTACATTTTTAATAAAATGGTATGCATTGTATACAACAAAATAGTGTTTTAGGGGTTCTTGTGGAAGGGTGCAAAACATTCTAAACAAAGTGCAATATCACACATTTTGCAAATAATGTTTGAACGTTTCTGTGTCTCTTTAGTACTACAATATCCACAGCGACGATATGTACCTTTTGTTGGTAAATGATCACCAACATTTTGTAGGTAATATTGGTTGCCAACAATCACTTTTCCAGTTTTTTTTGTCAATTTTCTTTGCATTGACTTTTGAATACCCGGTTTTTTTTTTGAAGAATAATCACCAATTAATTGATTTGCTAATGTTGATCTGAAATTTAGGTGTGTATATTTTGATGATTTTGGGTCATGGAGATTACTAGAAGTTTGATATAGCACAAATGAATTTACTATAGAAGCATCTAGAAGATAATAAAATATTTTTAGCCACCATCTTCTGGACTTCCAGGCCACATTGTAGTAAGAATGAAACTGATCAAAATGGTCGACACCCCCCATATACTTATTATAGTCTACAATAGCAGCTGGAGCCTTCACTACTTGTTTAACTCCTAGATTGTCTCTTCTAGAAACAGAACCAATACAACTGCCATCATGCATATTACTAATTACATTTACACACTTTTTTCCTCTGTCTTTCCATTTACTTATAGTTATTTCATTAGAAGTAACTACATCAAACTGACCTTGTTTTAGTTTTTTGTCATCTTTTAGAACACTAGATGGAAAATATTTTTTATTTGATTTGATAGTACCACATGCAAAATTATTTTTCTCAACCATATTTTTCACCATAGGAATATTACTGAAAAACCCATCAAAATAAAAACAATAGCCTTTGTTGTCATAAAGATTAGCTAAATGTGTCACAACTTTTTCTCCAAGACCAATTTCTGGATCTCCTTGCTTGCCTTGGTATACTTCAAACTGTAGTAGGTATCCAGTCTTAGAACATGCAGCTGCCCAAATTTTTATACCTCGTTTGATTGGTTTAAGTGGCATATATTGTTTAATTGTGGTTCTTCCCTTGAAAGCAACCATACTTTCATCTAGAGCAATATTTCTAGATGGGTTGAAATTTGAAAAAAACTTTTCATTTAGTTTGTTGATCAGCGGTCGCACTTTGTATAATTTATCATAATTAACATGTCCCCGTTTAGGCATAGTTAAATTATTATTCAAATGGAGAAATCGTAGTATAGACAGAAATCTTTTTAATGACATAATAGATGATATCCTTGGGACTTGAAAATTGGCATCTGTTGACCAGTAAGAACGAATAGTAGGTAATTTATGAAATCCCATTATGATGAGACAGCCAAAAAAGGCTTGTAGTTCTTCAATTGAAGTAACAAATTGTTGATTACATTGAGCAGCATATAATTCAGATTGAGTCTTGAAAGTATATAGAATATCATCATCAAAAAACAGTTTAAAAATATCAATTGGACTATTTATATCAACAGGTACTTTGGGTCCAAAAGGTTGTGTGAATTTATATCTCCTAAATGTTTTAGGTCTACAACCTTTTTTTTTCCATTTGAAAATCAATGTTGGTTGAGGAAATTTTTTTTTTTTTTTGTTAATTTGTTGCTTATTGGCAAAATGTTAGGAGAAACAATATTATCTACATTTATTTCAGTAGACACATCACCATTTTCAATTATTTCTATGGGCATACTCATAATGTCAAAATCATTTGGAGAAAAATTGAGAGTAGGTGGTGGTGTGCTACTAGATATACTTGATACTGGTGTGGTTGGTGATTTGGTTACATCTGGTTCATATGCTGGAGAATCAGATTGTGATGAAGTACTTCTTGTATTTTTGTGCTGTGGACTAGTTATTAATAATCCGTCTTCAAAATCTGAATCACCATCAATATCAGAGCATTCAGCTTGCTCATCAGTGATTGAAAATAAATAGTCCCTTACACTATCTTCATCCATACTAAAATCATAAAAATAAATTACTTATTTATTTGATATACCTATACCTGTTTGCTAATAAAATAATATAAGTATAAATTTAAAACATACCTGTATGCTTGAATATATATTAATATAAATTGTGTTTACATCGCAAAGATGCAAATTCACGAACCGTAATCGAATGTAATCAGTTCATTTTCACGACCCTATCATATTTTGAATTTGGATATTATCTTTTCGAAAAGGAGCGAAAAATAATTGATTACTTCATATCATGTTAAATTTTCACGTGATTTAGAAAATAAAACAATCATCGGTGTGGCTACACTGGTTGCTTGATAAATCAAATATTTCAATTATTGTTAAGAACAATTTCACGTGACCAACAAGTGAGCAGTGGTAAATATACTTACCACCTTTTTTTTTTTGTTATATCTACTGACCAATGAAGTCTTAGCAAATAAAACTTATAATTTATTGATGATAAACATTCTAAGAACACATAGACACCAAAATTGGACACTTAACATCAATAATGAGTGTCATATCACACATTTATTGAAAAAAACCTAGTGGTAAATATGGTTACCACTATTCGCTAAAGGGTTAACACATATATACAACGTTTGAATCAATTATTCTAATGTTATTGAGTGCAGCCCTCTTTTTAAACTTCAAGTTTTTATTTATAATTAAAACTAGCTGATCCCGTGCACTTCGTAGCCTGTTAAAAAACCTACCACTTAATCAAGCAGACTTAATCAAATAATAAAGAATAATAATGTATGACAACAAAATTTACAAAATTTACAAAATTTTTCTATAAACTACATTTGATGTTTTTCCTGTTGGTGCTAAATTAACTAAATTTGTGGTTATACTGACTCTGGAGCATGCCACGCAAAATTGTCCATGTGAAAAACAATCCTCTCTTACATCGATCCCTGGAATTTTCAAGGTTTGTCCTTGTGATTTATTTATTGTCATAGCAAAACATACTTTGACAGGAAACTGCATTCTCTTAAATTGGAATGGATAACCTGAATGTCCGTGAAGTTAGCCGCCCAACATCAACCCAACGAATTCATATTTGGTCATCCTTTAGTAAGTCATTAGTAAGTATTTGTAAGCACAAAATCAGAATTTGTAAGTTAACAACTTTCAGATTATCCCTGAAAGTTTAAAACCCGGCTAACTTCACGGGAGCCGGACGATCTTTTTTATCCAAACATCTGAACACACCAAACTTTAGTAAGTCATTAGTAAGTATTTGTAAGCACAAAATCAGAATTTGTAAGTCAACAACTTTCAGATTATCCCTGAAAGTTTGCCAGCCGGGTCACTTCAACTTTTCGAAAGTTTTATTCCACCCCCGCAAAGTAGTCCATTAGTAAGTATTTGTAAGAGCAAATTCGAACTTTTAAAGTGATTATTTTCAAAGTTATGGCGCCCTAAAGTTTAGCCAGCCGGGTCACTTAAACTTTTCGAAATTTTTTTTCCACCCCCGCATAGTAGTCCATTAGTAAGTATTTGTAAGAGCAAATTCGAACTTTGAAAGTTATTATTTTCAAAGTTTTGGCACCCTAAAGTTTAGCCAGCCGGGTCACTTAAACTTTTCGAAAGGGTAGGTTGCTAAAATACAATTTTTCTGAGCTATTATCTTTACAATTACCATGACCAAAGTTTTTTTACTATAAACTTTATAAAATTGTTATAAATAATATTAAAATATCTAATATGATTTTAAATATTTTATAATACTTATTAATATTAGGTACACTATAAACTCCCATGTATAGAAAACAGAAAGAGAATACATATTAAACATCTTCTATTATTATTATCGTTTCGTCGCCTAAAATAATGTTGTATGGGTATTATAGTTAGTATAAGATATTATAGCATAATATATTATTATGATGTAATGTATAATTATTGTATATATCTACGCGACAGTGGGATCACTAAAACGCTGCTATCAGCAAATGAGCGGCGCAAGCGACCGATGGCTTCTCATGGCAACGCGAGAGCCGGAAGTGTAGTATTTAGTGTAGTGCAGATGTGCAGTACAGTTCAGAAAATCGTAGTTTTAATAAATCAAACTAATTTTACTGTAAATATATTATCAGTGTTCTTGTTTATCCATGTACAACCCTCATCTTATAACCACAGCGGCGAATACATCAATTTCAATGTATAACATGTGTACCTGTAAAACCTACATATGGTGTATTGAGAAGTTAACTTTTTTTGTACAGTAGCAAACACTTTCAACTTTACTACTATTTCTATATAAAAAAAAAAAGGTTGGCAAGTTCCTGCACAGTTGATTATAAGTTGGTCACTGTATATTAGCAGTGTTCGGACTAGATAAGTATTTTTTTATCTAGATAAAGATAAAGGTAAATACATTTTAATCTAGATAAAAAAAAAGATACAATTATATTTTATAAATGGTTTTAAATGTTGGTATATTTTAGTTGGGCACTAGGAACATAATAATAATCATGATATAAATAAAAATAATTATATTATTTATAAACCATAAACTTTGTTTGAGAATCTGTATAAATATTAAAAAGTTTTGTATAATTTCGCGATTTTTATGAATAAAAACACCATATGTAGGTTTTACAGGTACACATGTTATACATTGAAATTGATGTATTCGCCGCTGTGGTTATAAGTTTATAGTGTACCTAATATTAATAAGTATTATAAAATATTTAAAATCATATTAGATATTTTAATATTATTTATAACAATTTTATAAAGTTTATAGTAAAAAAACTTTGGTCATGGTAATTGTAAAGATAATAGCTCAGAAAAATTGTATTTTAGCAACCTACCCTTTCGAAAAGTTTAAGTGACCCGGCTGGCTAAACTTTAGGGCGCCATAACTTTGAAAATAATCACTTTAAAAGTTCGAATTTGCTCTTACAAATACTTACTAATGGACTACTTTGCGGGGGTGGAATAAAACTTTCGAAAAGTTGAAGTGACCCGGCTGGCAAACTTTCAGGGATAATCTGAAAGTTGTTGACTTACAAATTCTGATTTTGTGCTTACAAATACTTACTAATGACTTACTAAAGTTTGGTGTGTTCAGATGTTTGGATAAAAAAGATCGTCCGGCTCCCGTGAAGTTAGCCGGGTTTTAAACTTTCAGGGATAATCTGAAAGTTGTTAACTTACAAATTCTGATTTTGTGCTTACAAATACTTACTAATGACTTACTAAAGGATGACCAAATATGAATTCGTTGGGTTGATGTTGGGCGGCTAACTTCACGGACATATAACCTGATGGTATCATTGGTATGCGAGGAATAAAAACTGATTCACTTTTTGCATATCCAGTCATAATTTGAGCTTCTATCAGATTTTTTTGTAGATCAGTAATACGTAGACGAGTCCCATTGCACAATTTTGGTGGACTAAGATTTCTTAGAAGCATTATAGGAGTACCAATTTTTAATGTTAATAAATGTGGTGGGAATCCAGTAGGGTTGAGTGAATTTAGAAATTCTACGGGATAATTAACTGCATCATCTATTTCCAGCACCGAATTCATTGTATTCCATTTTTTTTGGCTTGAAATTAGCCCAATAATATATTGTTTATTTCTGCTGCCGTATCATTTTTTGATGTCAAAATGGCCCTTTCACATAACCAGTCCATTGATATTTCTTTGAGGTTTTCGATGCCGGGGTATATTTTGTATGTATGTTCTTGTAAAGTATTAACAATGGTACTTAATCCTGTCGGCAAAGTAATTTTTTCTTCACATTCTGGATATTTTCCATCTCCAATTTTTAAGAGTAGCTCAGAAAACTGTTCAGCAGTCTTGTCTCCTTTTAAATGTACTCGCATATTTTTGGTCAAAGAAAATTTTTCTATTTTTGGCCACAAATATGAAGACCTGATGCATGCAGCGATTTCATTAGCTCGAGTTCCTCTGGGTACGATTGGTAGAGTTTGTCGAAAAACTCCAGCTAGCAGTACTGTGACTCCTCCCATTAATAAATTCGAATTCCTTAGAACCTTCAGACAGTTGTTTAAAGCCTCAAATCCTTTTTTATGAGACAATGGACTTTCATCCCAAATTATGAGCTTGCATTTTTTCAAAACATTTACCATATTAAATTGTTTATTAATATTGCACGTTGGAATCTCGATGGTGTTCATATTGAGTGGCGACTTGAAAGCAGAATGAGCAGTTTTCCTCCATGTAAAAGCGTAGCTGCAATTTCTGATGATGCAGCTGCAATTACAATTACATATGTGCTTCTTACCTTCGCCAAAAGTATATTGATTAAGTGGGTTTTACCAGTTCCGCCAGGTGCGTCTAAAAATATACATTTTCCTAAATTTAATTTGATACTATTTAAAGTTTGTCTGTAAACAAACCACTGTTCCTCATTCATAGAGGGTTCATTTTGCAAAACAATTTCATGTAAAACATTTAAATCATAGCTTGTTTCTTTTAAGTATTCTCTATTTTCTAAAAGGATCTTAAAGGAGTTGGCAAACCATATTCTTTTAAGTTATTTCCACCTAGATTCAAAACAAAGTCTTCAATTAACACAAACACTTATTATAAAGTTTACTGTCTGTTATATTATTTTCTAGATGTTGTCTGTAATATTGTCGCCGAATATCGTCTGAAAAATCGTCCTTATACTTAGTCCAAAGACTTGAAGCATCTGAGGGATGGCAAAATATTAATATTACCCTGAAAAGTTCTTGCATTTTATTAGGTGAACGACATAATGCTGCTTCTTCTAAAGCAAAATCCCACTGATTGTCATCTTCTAATAATCCAAGTGCTTTACATGTGGCCTGGAATGTTTGGTACTCGATATTGTTCACAGCCTTCAAAAATGAATACGTTGTTGGACCTTTTCCTTAATGAAGAAGAAGACGTAGATGGTAACATACAACATTGTTTGGGTCAATTGTATAAACTCTACCCAAAGCTAAATCTTTCTTAATTCCTGGCCAACCTTCGACATTCTGGCCATGTTTACGTGTAACGAAATTCTTATTTTTCAACACATAATACGAAGCAACTTGTGGATAAAGCAATGTTCTTGCAAAATTATCGGTTTGACATATCTGGAAAAAAGCCTGAAGTGTTGATGTTGGTGGATTTTCTATTGTTTTGGCAGCATTATTTGCTGTGAAGTAGACACGTTGTCCATTTTCTAGGTGAACATCAAGATGAGTAATAGCTGGATACCTATCGTGTATATGAAAACCTAAAATTTTCCAAGCTGCTTCGGAACTACTGATATACCTGCCACTTTCATATATTTTTATTTCATCTGTATTGTCAGTTATTCCTAAACCAAACGCTGCGTGATCACCACCTTTTGTGACATATTTGCATACATATTTTATAGACTTGATTGAACTGGTTATTTCTACATTTATATGAGCACTAAAAGTACGCAATAACACAGGGTTATATATAACAACCCACCTATTATCTAAGTCAATTGACTTAATACTCACTTTGAAACCTCCATCGTTTGTTGATAAGTTTCTTCAATGAGCGTAACATAAGCCTCAGCAGTTGGAAAAGTTGTCACCATTTGAATTGTAAGACATAGTAATAAAGTTATTCCAATTATCAGACACATAAGAAACAATTGTATTTCGGATCTCCTGACATCTTTCTAGAGTGTTAAGCAAATGAAATGATATTGAACGGAAAAGGCAGGCACAATCATGGATAATTGGTACAACTATTTGAGGTGTCAACATCCCATTGACAAAAATATCTTCAATCGATGACATTAAAAAAAATAAAACAATTAAATTGAATAAATATAATATTTTAAATAATTATCCAACATGTTCCGGGTAATATAAACAAAAAAAAACAAACATGCTCGATTAACCATAGATTATACTGTATTAGCCAGTACATCCATTATTTTTATTTTTAATTTTATTTCACTCATTCTAATACCAATATTGTATATTTAAATTAAATATTGCTTGATAGATGGCGCCACTGTCGTATTATTTCAACCCCACTTTTACCCCATTGTAGGTCAAATTTTGGAAAATCCTTTCTTAGTGCGCCCCTACATTGCTGAAGGAACCTCTCTATAAAATTGCAAGTCTATAGACCCAGCGGTTTGGTCTGGGCGTTGATTCTTGGCAAAGTACACTTTCCCTTATATATATAGATTAATCGGTCTGTACCTCTCGGTGTGTACTAGTTGCGGTCATAATCAAAAATTACATACTAGTTGCGGTCACCCCTCAAAAAGGTTACATACTAGTTGCGGTCATTCAAATAATAATAACTAAGTATACTAAATAATATAATAAAATATAGTTTATATGATAATTAAATATGAAATTAATATTTCGTTTATTTATTGAATTTAGAAAAATGTATTAATCAACNAAATAATTTGACTTTTTTTGAGCTGTTTACGGACATTGTCAGTTTTCAATTTTTTTAGTTTTTTTTTTCTATAAATATCAATAAAATTTTATTTGTTGGGTAAAAAAGCGTGAAAATTTAATGCAAGGCTCCTGCTATATTGTTACAATAGCAGTTGAAAAATATTAAAAATACATAGCGTCGTTGGGCGAGTAACAAGTCGTATCTAAAAAAAAATCGATTTTGCGTTTTATACATCAAAAAAAGCAGGGAAAAATAACGGATATTTTGATAAAATTACATCTTATCATTATTTAATTTCAAAGAGGTTAGAAATAAAATAGTAACATGGTCGTAACTCAGTTATTAAAATTGTTATCATGAAATATGTCGTATCTCATTTCATACGATTTTTGATAATATGGCATGTTAACGTAATATTATTATTAATAATTGAAATAATATTAGTCTAATAGTCTGTACGTACTCATTTGTGGCAAAACTGAAATCGAATTAAATGTGTTTCCTAGTCTTAAATATGACTAGTAGGTAACTAGTCAATTTAGTATAATATTGTTATATTATATTCCATAGTTTGTTATTAAAAAAAAGTATATTTTTAAATATTTATGATGGACGAAGAAGATATTGATAAACTACTGAACGAAATGGACAAGATGTCAGATTATGGTTAGTTATAATATTTTGTCGCATAATATAATTATATAATAATAAAATAATTCGTGTCCAATAACAATGTGTAAAATCTTTAGATATGGATATGAGTAGTAATGATATTGTAATGAATAATGCTGATGATATAGAAAATAATGATGTTGAGTGCACTCTTAGAAACTATAGTAAGTTTTTGATAGTAAAATCTGATAGGTATTTAATGAATTCTACTTCTTTTAATTAATATGCAATATTATAATATTATTTAAGTAGATAAGACTGTTAATCCCAGAACATCTGCTGGTGAAAATGTTGAAAGTGCTAAAAAGAAATTGTGTTATGATGAGAATGATGAAAATATTACTGAGAACACAGGAAATAATGTAGTTGATGAGGAAATTTCTCTGTCAAACGAAAGTAGGTTTTTTTGTTAAACTAAATAATATAATATTATACAATAATAAATAATAAATAAATAGACTATTAATGCTATAATACTTAATCAATTTTATTAAAATTTAAATATAGATGAGCTTGTTTTTGATGGTGTAGAGGTGTTAAGTGTTGATGATAGTAATGATTTGGATATGGATTATGCAGTTACAATTAGTAAAGAAAGTATGGCAGTAAGTTATAAAAGAAAACTCAATCAAAAATTAAGGATGACTGGAGACCCATATTTAGGGTATAGCCGGTCAAAGAGGAATCAAATTTTACAAAATGTTAATAGAGTAGGTAAAAATATTCGGCCAGCTTGTAATAGTGATGTATGTAGAAAATCACAAAAAAGAAAATGCAATGAAATAGCTGAAGTAAATAGATTAGGAATATTTAATCATTTCTGGAAAAACTTGAACTGGGATGAAAAAAAAACTTATGTAACATCTTTAGTAATAACCACTCCTGTAAAACAACGAACCGTCGAATCATCACGAAGAAACAGTACTATGTCTTATAATTTAAAAGTTAAAGATGCATATTTATGTGTATGTAAAACAATGTTCTTAAATACACTTGGATTAGGAGAAAAACAAGTTTTAACTTGGTGCCTAACTGCAAAAGATACTGAGTTGAATAATTATGAGACAAATAAAGAAAAAAACAAAAGATCTACTATGAGAATTACTCCAGAAAAAATAAAAAGGAAATTTGTGACTGAGTTTCTTGAAAAATTGCCAAAACTACCCTCACATTATTGTAGGAAATCTACCTCTAGATTATATTTTGAGCCACATATAAAATCTATATCTCAATTATACAAAATGTATGTTATAGTGTGTAATGAAGAAAATAAACAGCCAGTGTCTAGAAAAATATTTCATGAGATTTATGAGAAAACAAATTTTTCTGTTTACCACCCGAAAAAAGATCAGTGTGACATTTGTTGTTCTTACCAAACCAAAAATATTGAGGAGGATGAGTGGAATGAACATATAAAGGATAAAGATCGAAGCAGGGAAGAAAAAAATAAAGACAAAGAAAAAGCTAAGCTTAATGAAATCATTGTATTCACTATGGACCTCCAGGCAGTAAAAATTTGCCCAAATTTAAAAGCAAGTGCTTTATACTATAAGTGTAAATTATGTGTGCATAATTTTACCATGTATAATTTATCCTCTCATGAATGTACATGCTATTGGTGGGATGAAACACAGTCAGACCTCTCTGCATCATCTTTTGTAAGTTGCATTATAGATCAAATAACTGAGTATAACTTAAAATATCCATTAAAAAATATTATACTTTGGAGTGATGGTTGCTGTTACCAAAACAGAAATTGTGTTTTATCAAATGCGTTATTGGAGTTTGCTATTAATAATAAAATTTCTATTGAACAAAAGTACTTAACTAAAGGCCATACACAGATGGAATGTGACTCTGTCCATTCAACAATTGAAAATAAATTAAGAAATACTGATATCTATTTGCCATCTGATTATATGAGGATAACAAAAAGTGCCAGGACTAAACCATTCCCATACAATGTAAAATATTGTGATGTAAATTTTTTTAAAAAATATGAACTTGATTCATACAGGTTTGATACTATAAGACCTGGTAAAAAGGCTGGAGATCCTACTGTTACTAATATTAAGGCTCTTCGCTATAA